AGAGGGGGCCCTAGTAAAATGTGGGGTCCCCAGAAAGATATAGGGACCCCAGGCTCTGACAACAAGGGACATGGGTGGGGTGGTGGAGGTGACTCTCGGAACAGGTTGTAGGGAAAGTCCACACACCAGATGTGGGACCTCTCCCCACCCACCCACCCACCCTTTCCCAGAGTTACACATACAGACACACACAGACACATGGACACACACAGACACGCATAAGGAAGACTCAGGGGAGATGGATCCTTCACCTGGAAGGCCCAAAGAGCCCCAAAGAGTGGACATTCAGAGCCCCGTGACCTAACAGTGAGGCTGTCAACCCAGACAGGAAAGCACAAACATTCCAGCCAGCGTCAGCGACACATGCACAACTCAGAGACAGAGATAACACGGAAGGATGCAAAGATGAGCCAATGGCAGATGGGGACACCAGGTGCCAGAGGTCCCACAGCTGCCCAGCCCCCCCTGCCCTCCCTGCCTCACCCCATCCCCCGTGGACAGTCCTTTGCTGGCTGAGCTGCCAGGTGTGGGGATGCCTGGTGACTTGCTGGAACGTTCCACCCAGGCCCCAACTGTGCCTCATATGCACAGTTACATGTATTACCCCACCGCTGCCAAGCCACAATGCTTAGAGAGAGGAATATCGTGTTCCATTTTACACATGAGGAAACAGGCCGAAAAAAGCTGAATAAAATGTCCAGAACCACATTTGGTTGCGGCTGCAGCCCGGGGAAAGTCCACTTTTAGGCGAGAGATGGCTTTGAAAACAAACAATCGGCTCAGAAATAAGCTGCACTGGAGCCGCCTGGTGGCTGGACCTGGGAACTGCGCCTCCGGGAGCGGTTTCCTCTAGACCGGATTTTCCGACCGGGACGGACGTGCCTCTTCTGACAAGAACTTGGACTGGGCCCCTTCGAACAGCAGACAGCGAGCCCGGGGCGAGGCCTCTCCGGCCCGCGGCTCCGGTCTGTCCCTTCACACAGTCTTGCACGAGGCGCACGCACCGCTGCCCTCCCCTCACGCCAGCCGTGGCGTGGGAGTCCCACGGCGCGGCTCCCTCCGAGAGACACGCGGGGCGCCTCCTCTGCCTCAGCGACCGCGCGGCTTCGCGTCCGTGTGCGCCGGGCCCATTCGCCCGTCCGCCCCGCCGGCGGAGGACCGGCTGAGTCCAGCGCTCCGCGGGCGTTCCCGCCCGGGACAGACACCGGCGTGGGGGAGGGAACAGCCCTAGAGGGGAAACCCGCACGTTCAGCAGCAATCGGGAAGTAGGTTTTATTTTATTTTATATTTTTGAGACAGAGTCTCGCTTTGTTGCCCAGGCTACAGTACAGTAGCGTCAGCCTAGCTCACAGCAACCTCAAACTCCTGGGCTCAAGCAATCCTCCTGCCTCAGCCTCCCGAGTGGCTGGGACTACAGGCATGCACCACCACGCCCGGCTAATTTTTTCTATATATATTAGTTGGCCAATTAATTTCTTTCTATTTTTGGTAGAGACGGGTCTCGCTCTTGCTCAGGCTGGTTTTGAACTCCTGACCTCGAGCAATCCGCCCGCCTTGGCCTTCCAGAGTGCTAGGATAACAGGCGTGAGCCACCGTGCTCGGCCAGGAAAGTAGGTTTTAAATGGTGGTAGATGGTTCCAAATGGCCCTGAAGAGGCCACCCTCACCAACGATGTGTGAGGTGCCTGTTTTCCTACTCCCTGTGTGACAGGCAGAAAGTGATATTTTTGGTAGTTATAATTTGCATTTCTCTTCTTAAGCCAGGAGCTTTGACAGGCATGTCTTAGGGACAGGCCTTCAGGCAGGAACTCTTTTTGCATTTCCCACAGGACACCTCAGATCACTGGGCAAAGGGGGATGAGAAGCTGGGGCAGGTTCTTAACACCAGCCACCCAAAACTTAATGCCCTAAAAATAACCACCATGCCATTACCTCTCAGGGTCCTGTGGGGGCTGAGCTTAGCGGGGTAGGTCTTCTGCTGGTCTCCCTCGGGCTCTCGCGTGTGGTCGCAGGCAGATGGTGCGGGGATGGAGCCCTGGACACTCAACCATGATGCTGGGCTGGCCCCACTTCTCCCCCAGCTGGTCTCAGGGCCGGTCCCTCTCCACCTAGCCTCTCCAACTAGACTTCTCACCTGGTGGCTCAGGGCTCCCAAGGGAGCAAATGCCAAGCTGCCAGGCCTTCCGAAGGCCTAGTAGGACCAGGACTGGGTGCAGCATCACCTCACAGCATCACCTCACACCTCACTCGTTTTAATTCAGCTGATTAAAACGAGTCCCAGCCCAGCCCAGATTTGAACAGAGGGGAAATCTACAAGGGTATGATGTCAGGTGGCCATGCTCCATGAGCCATCTCCACCCCTACAGTCTCAGAGTGTGGTCTGGGTGTTGAAAACCTTTGAAATACTCCTTGAATCAACATGGCAATTCATTTCCTCTCAGTAAAAGTCTCATAGCCAGGCATTCTGCTCTGCTGATCCAGCCAGTACAATGTTTTCTTTTGACTTCAGAGGCAGGAGCAGGTGGGCCTCTGTTGCTCCGGGTTCACAGGTCCTGAGAACCACAGGGCCAGCATATGGTGCCTGCATGATGAGGGGGTCTTTGCTTCCCTTCTCCGAGGCCTCTCTGAGCTCCAAGCGTGGCACCACCAGCTAGGAGTGTGGGACAAGTTCACCCTGGGCTCCTGTCTCCCTTCTGCAGACATCAGGGTGACACCAATGACCCTTAAGAAGAGTCCTGCCAGTTCCATCACTTCGCAAAACTCCCAAATCTAGGAGCATGTGTGAGGAGGCAAGGCAGTACCTGCCTGTGGCTCTGTGTGGCCTGCTGGCCCAGAGCACTGGCCTGGGAGCCGGTTAGACCTGCTTCCCAGGTGCAGGTCCGAGGCTGGGGGCAATGTGACTTTAGAGATTCAGATTTTTCATCTGCAAAATGGAGCATGAAATGGTAGGGGTGCTGTGGAAAGTAGACTGGAAGTTCCTCAAACAGTGAAACAGACGTATCCTAGGACCCAGCCATCCATCTCCTGGGTATATACCCAAGAAAACTGAAAATATGCATCCACACAAAAAAGTAAACAGGCACCTGCATGCCAGTGTTATCCACAGTAGCCAGGAAGTGGAACTGCTCAAGTGCCCATTGGCTGAAGAACAGGACCTGTCTGTACACACAAAGGACTACTATTTGGCCATAAAAAGGAACAAAGTTCTGACACAAGGCACTACAGGGACAAACCTTGAAAACATCACGCTGAATGAAAGAAGCCAGACGCAAAAAGCCACATGCTTTATGATTCCATTGGCAGGAGACGTCCAGAACAGGCACATCCACAGAGACAGAGCGCAGATGAGTGGTTGCCTGGGGCTGCGGCTGCTGATGCGATGGGTTTCTGTTTACAGGATACAATGGGCTCAAAGTACGCAGTGGTGATGGTTTCACAACCTTGTGAATATACTAAAAACCACGAATTGTACAGCTTATAATGGTGAATTTGATGGTATAGGGATTGTATCTCAATTTTTTTTTTTTTTTTTTTTGAGACAGAGTCTCGCTTTGTTGTCCAGGCTAAAGTGAGTGCCGTGGCGTCAGCCTAGCTCACAGCAACCTCAAACTCCTGGGCTTGAGTGATCCTTCTGCCTCAGCCTCCCGAGTAGCTGGGACTACAGGCATGCGCCACCATGCCCGGCTAATTTTTTTTTATATATATATCAGTTGGCCAATTAATTTCTTTCTATTTATAGTAGAGACGGGGTCTCGCTCTTGCTCAGGCTGGTTTTGAACTCCTGACCTTGAGCAATCCGCCCGCCTCGGCCTCCCAAGAGCTAGGATTACAGGCGTGAGCCACAGCGCCCGGCCCTGTATCTCAATTTTTTAAAATGGAGATAATCAGTCCTCCCTCAGAGCAGGAAGATCAAGGAAGATCCTGTGTGGGAAGTGACTGGCACACGGCCAGGGCTTGCTAAATGGCCCAAGTGATGAGTACATTTTCTTAAATCTGGCTTATATCTGTCCTTCAATCCCAGGGCCTAGGGGATGCCCAATTCCAGAGACCAAGAACAGCCTGGGATAAGGGGAAATTTCAAGGGAGGGTTTTGACCCTAGACTGAGTCTTCCTCTGGCATCCCAACCTGAAAGCTCAAGTCCTGAGAAAATGGAGAGGCCAGATGCCCATTTCCCCAGGGCCCTCCTGGTTGACACCTACTGTCCCCAGCATATTAGGAATTTCATCCATCCCAGTCTCAAAGTCCAGTCAGCCCTCTGTATCCATGGGTTCTGCCCTATGGGTTCAACCAACAGCAGATCGAAAATATTTAGGGAAAACAATGGATGGCTGCATCTGTACTAAACATGTACACTTTTTTCCTTGTCATTATTCCCTAAACAACACAGAACAACCATTTTTATAGCATTTACATTGTATTAGGTATTATAAATAATCTAGAGATCATTTAATGTACATGGGAGGATTTTGTAGGTTATATGCAAATATTAGGCCATTTAAGCATCTGTGGATTTTGCTATCCGAAGGAAGTACTGGAACCAATTTCCCATGGATTCAGAGGGACAATGATTTACGCTTACCCAGGATAGCGTCTCCTTGGAAGAAGGGCCCAGTTCAAGACAGAAGGGACATCTTACCTGGATTACTGTCCCTTCCTTTGTCCATTCATTCATTGGTCCACTTCTGGCATTGTCCCAGTCTGCATCCCCAGTAAGTGGGGACAACAAAAAAGACTAGCTTGAGCTGTCCAGCTTTGAGGTCCTGCAGGAAGTTGCTTCCAGTATGATGTAGAGGGAGTCGGTTTCTGTAGGATCCAGAGAGCATACCTGCCAAGCCTGTCAGGAAGGGATCCTGGCCTAGCCATGACCCCAAGCAGGGGCTAGCCACGTGGATGGCCTGGGCCATGAAATGGAAGCCCGTGGGGTGGCGGAGGGAGCACTTCAGAGAGGGGTCCTCGGGAGTGCAGCCCCCCCCCCTCAGGGTCTCCCCGCTGTGTTGCAGCTCCCCCTGGGCCCAAGCTGAGTGCAGACCAGCTGGCGCTGGCCTACAGCACGCTGGGTCTCTGCCTGTGCGCCATCTTCTGCTGCTTCCTCGTGGCCATGGCCTGCTTCCTCAAGAGGAGGCGCGATCAGGTCTCCTGCCAGCCCCCCGCAGGGCCCTGTGGGTCCCCGGCCAAGTCTTCGCAGGGTGAGTGCATGAAAGTGGGGTCCTCGCCCTTTTCACTGCGTGGGTGACATGCGGTTCTGTCACTGTCCCTGCTTCTATATGGAGCAAATCTTCCCGAAGCGGTCTGAGGCACTTCCCTGTAGTAGTGGTTCTTAGTGAGGAAAAAAAACTTAAGCCATCAGGGGCAAGAAGGGTGGGTTTAGGGGGTTCCGGGCTTTCAGGACTGAGACCAGGAGCGCGGGACCAGGTCTTGGGGCTGCGGCTGTTTTGGGGGCGCGGGCGGAGGTGAGAGCAACGGTTTGCCAGCCTGTCCCACACAGGCTCGGGCCACGCAGGGGCGCTCTCGCCGGCCTAGGGCGGCAGAGGCCAGCAGCCGCCTGAGCTCCCCGCCCGCGGGACTTCCGGAGCCCGGGCTGGGCGGGGGCATGGCGGGGCGGGACTTCCGGAGCCCGGGCTGGGCGGGGGCATGGCGGGGCGGGACTTCCGGAGCCCGGGCTGGGCGGGGCCGCACCGACGCCCTCTCCTCTCGCCCCCGCAGATGATGCGATGGAAGCCGGCAGCCCCACCGGCGCGGCGCCCGAACCCGTTGAGACGTGCAGCTTCTGCTTCCCCGAGCGCAGGGCGCCCACCCAGGAGAGCGCTGGCGCGCCCGGGACCCCTGGTCTCGCTGGGACCGCGGCCCTGCAGCCCTGCGCGCGCGCCTCCGACGGCTGCCTCGGCGTCGTGTGCGCGCCCGCCAAGGAGGGGGGCCCGGGCGCGTGAGGGGTGGGGAGAGAGACGGAGACGGACGGAGGGAGAGCGGTGCCCGCGTGGGGAGAGACCCGGGCAGCAGAGGGGGAGAGGTGCCGGAGGAGGAGGCCGGGTCACTCTGTATCCCAGTTCCCAGTGCAAGTTGTAGGTCGCCATCACCTGACTACGCGTGTCTTACATGCAATAAAGTAGCCCCCGAGAACCCCTTTTCCTGTAAAATAAAACCTTTGGGGCTGCCCTTCATTGGACTTTGGTCGTGTCTGCGGATGAACCAAGACGGCCCTCCTGTCACCCTCCTGGGCTCAAGGCTGCGACACATGCTGCTACCTCAGCTCAGCACAGAAGGACCCACCATCTCACCAGGCTCCTGAGGAAGTCTGTGAACGCGGGTTGGGCAGTAAGCAGCAAAGTACCGCTTGGCCTTTCCTGCCCCCTTTCACTTAAGAGGGAGAGCAGAAAGAGATCACAGAATGGTGGGCAGGAAGGCACCTGTGCAAACACCAGGAGAATGAGGTGCTCGACTTGTCTTCGTTTCTTTCACACAAATGCCCTTCCCTGCCTCTTCATGGCATGAAGCACAGGGTGTGTGTGCATGTGCCTGTGTGTATGTGTGTTTCGGGGGTTTGGGGTAGACAGGAAGGGAATTATTCACCCTGCACCACCCCAAATTATCTTGCATACCTGCACACACCAAAGGGCCATGTAGGACACTTTGGGAGGTGCAGACAAGACACCTGAGGCACCATCCTCAGACTAACAGGTTGCATTAGTTTGCTAGGGCTGCCTTCATGAAGTGTCACAGACTGGCTTCAACAACAAAGTCATTGTCTCACAGTCTGGACGCCAGAAATCCAAGATCTAGGTGTCAGCAGGGTGGGTTCTTTCCGAGGGCTGCATGGGAAGGTCTGTTCCAGGCCTCTCCTTGGTGTGACTGTGGCCGTCTTCTCCCTGCATCTCTTCACCTCTTCCCTCTTCACACGTCTGCGTCTGTCACAATTTCCCCTTTTTATAAGGATACCAGTCACACTGGAGAAGGGCCCACCCTACTGACCTCATTTTACCTTACCTCTGTAAAGACCTTATCTTCAAATAAGACTGTGTTGTGAAGTGCTAGGGGTTAGGGCTTCAACATAGGTCAGGGGGAAAATTCAACCAGTAACACGGGCCCTCCCGAGGCCACCTCTGCTTCGTCTTTGTCTGCAGGTGCGCTGGCATCTAAAATGTGTCTGTCCAAGATGAGTGTCTGGTTACCCAGGGAACTGCCACCCCACGCAGCCAGCGCCACATCTTGGTGGCATTGTTCCTCTCCATCATGCCCAATGTAAGCAGCTTCCTTCCTCGTGACAGGGTGGACGCCAGCCCTGTGCTGTTGCAGACACTTGCTGGGTGCTGGTGAAGTAACACTGCACTAGTGAGCCGCAGAGATGTAGCTTAGATACTAAGGCTTATCTGAAAGATGCACAGATTCCTATTCCTTCAGACCTGTGGTTTTCTAATACTGCTCGTCTGAACCCAGTGATGCCTCTGGAATTTCAGGGGATGTTGGGATGCTGAGAACACAGGGTGCTGAATGCCCAACCCCAGGTCAATTAGATACAAATAATCTTGTAGGTTTTGGGGGGTCAGTTTTTCAATTGCTCTTGAGTGTTTTTTTTTTAGGGGGATCCTTTACTAGAAAGAACATCTGAAACTCTATATACTGTCAATTTTATCTATGTTCTGTTTGTCCCACCTCCAAAATATATCCTGATTCCACCCACTTGTCATGACCTCCTTTTTTTTTAAGAGATGGGGTCTTGCTATGTTGCCCAGGCTGGCTTCAAACTCCTGGGCACAAGTGATCCTCCTGTATAGCTGGCTGTACAGGTGTATGCATCATCACTCCTGGCCAATTAACACAAAATTTTTTTAGAGATAGAGTCTTGCTATGTTGCCCAAGTTGGTCATGTGTCATGACCCCTTTAATCTGAGTTCCCACCATTTCCCACCCTCCCCACTGGCCTCCCTGCTGCCACCTTTTCTCCCCACCCAAGGCTCAGCAAGAGTTTTTTTTTTTTTTTTTTGGAATTTGTTTTTTATTTCGGCATATTATGGGGGTACAGATTTTAAGGTTTCAATAAATGCCCATTCCCTCCCCCCCCCAAAAGTCTGAGTCTGCATCATGACCATCCCCTAGATGGTGCACATCTCACTCATTATGTATGTACATACCCGCCCCCTCCCCCCTCCCACCTGCCCAATACCCTATTACTGTAGTACCTATGTGTCCACTTAGGTGCTACTCAGTTAATACCAGTTTGCTGGAGAATATATCTGGTGCTTGTTTTTCCATTCTTGGGACACTTCACTTAGTAGTATGGGTTCCAGCTCTAACCAGGAAAATATAAGATGTGCTATATCACCCTTGTTTCTTAGAGCTGAATAGTACTTCATGGTATACATATACCACATTAATCCATTCTTGGATTGATGGGCACTTGGGCTGTTTCCACAGCCTTGCAATTATGAATTGTGCTGCTATAAACATTCGAGTCAGCAAGAGTTTTATATAAAAGACCAGATAGTATCTTAGGCTTTGTGGACCATACAGTCTCTGTTGCAACACCTCAACAATTACTCAAGTCTGCCATTGCAGCACAGAAGCAGCCATGGACAAGAAGTAAACACATGGGAATGGCTGTGCTCTAGTGAACCTTTATTTACCAAAATAGGTGGGCTGGATGTGATCTATGGGCCATAGTTTGCCAACTCCTGCCTGACCTCATGGCAAAATTGATGTTTGTATTTATGCCCCTTGAGAAAATGTGTAATGGTTATTTACAAGATACATATTTAATTAATTACAGTCAACTGTCAAATATCACTTCACATGCGGTGTAGGAACCTTACAAGGGTACACTCCCAACTCTTCCCCCTATCTATGCTGTTGTCATTTACATGTTCTATAAACCCACAATACATTATACAACTTTTGCTCTAGAACATCAGTATCTCAGGGTGATTAAAAATAAAAACATGTCTTTTATTTATTTATTTATTTATTTATTTTTGGAGACAGACTCTCACTCTGTTGCTTGGGCGAGAGTGCCATGGCATCGGCCTGGCTCACAGCAACCTCAAACTCCTGGGCTCAAGCAATCCTCCTGCCTCAGCCTCCCGAGTAGCTGGGGGCGGTGTCTCCATCTTGCTCAGGCTGGTTTTGAACTCCTGACCTTGAGCGATCCTTCTGCCTTGGCCTCCCAAAGTGCTAGGATTATAGGCGTGAGCCACCGCACCCGGCCTAAAAATAAAAACATGTCTTTTATATTTACCTTTATTTCTGGAGATCTTAATTTTTTAGTGTACATTCATGTCTCTGGAATCACATGTTTGCCACTTGCAGAACTTATTTTAACATTTCTTGTTGTACAGGTCTGCTGGTAATGAATTCTTTGTTTTTGTTTGTTTGAAACGTCTTTATTTTGGCCAGGCGCGGTGGCTCACACCTGTAATCCCAGCACTCTGAGAGGCCGAGGTGGGCGGATTGCTCAAGGTCAGGAGTTTGAAACCAGCCTGAGCAAAAGCGAGACCCCGTCTTTACTATAAATAGAAAGACATTAATTGGCCAACTAATACATATAGAAAACATTAGCCAGGCATGGTGGCACATGCCTGTAGTCCCAGCTACTCAGGAGGCTGAGGCAGGATTGCTTGAGCCCAGGAGTTTGAGGTTGCTGTGAGCTAGGCTGACGCCATGGCACTCACTGTAGCCTGGGCAACAAAGCGAGACTCTGTCTCTAAAAAAAAAAAAAAAGAAAAGTCTTTATTTCACTTTTATTTTTGAAAGATAGTATTTCCAGGTATAAAATTCCTTTCAGTACATTAAAGCTATCCATTATCTTTTTTCTTTTTTGACGTCTAAGTTTTTATTAATATGAGTTTTTAAAAACAAGCTTCCACACCAGTGTGGAGAGTGACAGGAGGAGGAGGGTATGACAGGGGAAGAGATTCTACGCCATCAATAATAAAGCTCCAGTTTCATCCCATCATGATTTCATAGTACTCGGAGACACGTGGTCCTTAAAAATCATGTACCACTTCCTTGGAACAATCTTCCAACGGGTACCAGTTTGGGCTGCAATCAGCTTCTTAACCACTTCGGTGCAGCGCTCACCCCGGCTGCGACACCTCGCCCACAGCGGCACTGCACAGTAGTGTGCGCTGTGCATTGACCACCGATCCGTTTTGCTCTTGTGTGATGAGGAAAGCTCTAAAGCACTGAAAGCTTGTTTTACTTCACAGGCAGCTTTCCTTGTAATGTAAATCAGGATAGGTAACGTATATGTTTTCATTACCTTATTTTTAAATGTTCACAATTTTATTTTATTTTTTTTTGAGACAGAGTCTTGCTTTGTTGCCCAGGCTACAGTGAGTGCCATGGCATCAGCCTAGCTCACAGCAACCTTAAACTCCTGGACTCAAGCGATCCTCCTGCCTCAGCCTCCCCAGTAGCTGGGACTACAGGTATGCACCACCATGCCCGGCTAATTTTTTCTATGTGTATTAGTTAGCCAATTAATTTCTTTCTATTTATAGTAGAGACGGGGCCTCGCTCTTGCTCAGGCTGGTTTCGAACTCCTGACCTCGAGCAATCCGCCCACCTTGCCTCCCAGAGTGCTAGGATTACAGGCGTGAACCACCGCGCCCGGCCTCACAATTTTATTTTGATAAATGAAAAATTAGAAAAGTCAATTCAAAATTATAGTTTTATTTCATTTATAGCATAAAGAAATAAGGCAAGTTCTTGAATATTACGATAAATTTTATTCTTTGGTATGATAAATTTCGAAGCATGGGGCTACACGTAGGCTAACATTACATTGTTTACAATAGTATCTAGTACTACGCCTTTTATTATTTTTTGAGCATACAATACATCTTCTTAATGGATTTTTCCCTTTTGTTTTATCACTATTGTAAGGTGCTGGAAAATGTCTTTCTCTGAAACGCATGAGATTTTCTGATACAGTACACGGGTTGTACTGCCTCGATTTGGAGTACCGTTGTAGAAGTTCTGTTAACACTAAGGTCGACGCTTGGCTGTGTGCGTTTATCTGTGGCTGTCGACTATAGTCGACGCTGCACCGAAGTCGCGAAGGTCCCCAGTGGCGTCATTGGTGTTGCATTTAACACCTGATGTCTCCAGGGCACAGTGTCCTCTCTCCTCTCATGTGCCCGTCACGCGGGCTCAGCGTTCACCAGACCCCGCTGCCTTGGGGCATTTGCCTATGCCCTGGCACTAAGCGCACATCTACTGACCTGGCTAATGCCTTTTTCTCCACACCAATTTGTCAGGATCACCAAAGCAGTCTGCTTCTACCTGCAGAGCCAACAGCAGACCTTCAGGGTACAGCCGCAGGACCACAGCAATCCTGCTCTCTGCTGTAACAGAGTCTGCAGATATATTAACTTAATACTACGTAAAGTATCACTCTGGCCCAGCCACTTTTGTGGACAAGGGTTTGCCAGCCCTGCCTGTCAGCACCGCCCTGCACCCTCAGGCCGGCCACGTAGCACTGCTTCTCAGCATGGCACATGATGCTCAGCAAAACTTGTAATGGTGGGCCTGTGTCCCTGGATCAAAGCGAGCTTACAGAAGACTCAGTTATGGGAAGTGGTGAAGCTGCCTTACGAGATGAATTTTAGGCTTTTGAATAGAAGCCACTAAATGGTGCTGACTCCCCCACAGCCAGAAGGTATGGGTCTGAGAATCAGGTGTGAAATTTTCTTATTACTGTCCTGGAAAATTTGAACTTTGCTGGTTAGAAGTGTTTGGCCCCAAACGGGGGGAATCTTCTCCCAGGGACACACAACACAGCCTCGGAGGGTTCTACTGAATTTGAAAAGACTGCTGCACAATGTAGACAAGGACTAAGTCTGGACCCCAGGTTGTCTCTGGTGCCTCCTGGTGTTTCCACATGAAGGAAAAAGCTTGCCACAAATGTTTCCAACAAAGGCATCCAAAAAAGGGAGAGGCGGCTCACACCTGTAATCCCAGCACTTTGGGAGGCCAAGGAGTGCTTGGGATCAGGAGTTCAAGACCAGCTTGGGCAACATAGTGCCCTACAAAAAAAAATAGAAAAATTAGCCAGGTGTGGTGCCGCTCACTTGTAGTCCCAGCTACTCAAGAGGCTGAGGCAGGAGGCTCACTTGAGGCCAGGAGTTCAAGTGAGCTATGATGATGCCACAGCCCTCTAAGCCTGGGCGATAGAGTGAGATGCGTCTTTTAAAACTCCAATGCTTCAGAAGAAGGTCTAGGCCAATAAGTCAAGGAATCCTGACCAGCTGAGGGCAAGGGAAGTGTGTAGGCGCAGGGGTGGGGCGGACAGCTATAGCCTCATGACCAGTCGCAGAACCATGGACTCCAATAGCTGTGTGTTTTCTGCTTCCTGTATGTATTTCTGTACATTTACTCATTTCTCATCATACAGGGAGCTTGCTACAAACACACAGTCCTATGTCATAGCCCAGGCCTTCTAATCTATATGCATTTAAAGCCCCTGAGATGACTTCTGTCCTGAATCCTGGATGTCACCCTCCCACCCACAGGAGGAGGGAAGGTCCACCACCACCACCAATTATAGAAAAGGAGGATGCGAGAGTCCACGGACTTCCAAAGACCCAAAGAACTCTCTGGGACCTGACTTGGTGAGGCTAGGCCCCCATCAAGGCAAGCTCTGCCCTGGCTGGTGTTCCCCGCCAACGACCCTCTCTTTGGCTGCGTGTGTTAGTAAGGGGAGAACCAGTCAGTTTTCCGAATAAAATGTACCTTTATTATGACGTAGGAAAGACTACAAGCCATTGGGGGAAGAGGAGAACGAGTCAAACAGCTCCCCAAATGAGGGGCAAAAGGAAGGTGTAAACATCTTGGGAATAAAATCTCCAACCACAGCACAATCATTGGAATTTTTTTCTTACAATTTTTTGTTTTCAAAGTCATAGTAAACGCAAACAGTCACTTGAATTGTCAAAAGGACAGCAATTTTACACAATTAAAAGCAAACACACCAAGCTGAAATACAACACACTCGGGTATACACACTGCAGGGTGCTACCGCAAGAAGGGGTCCAGGGTCTGTCTGTTCCAGTGACCGGGGGGAGCCCAGGCCGCAGAGGGCCCAGGCGGAGAGGCCGCCCAGCTCCCGGCACGCCGCAGGGCTCACAGCTCTCGCTGCAGGAGTGTCTGAAGGGGGAAGCCTATCTATCTTACTGAGAGGCACTCAGATGACAGCTAGCATCTCCAAAGTACTGCTTGTTTTTAACACACTCACGCAGCAAGCCCCTAAGTGGTAAGATGCACTTTCTGACAATCAACACCTACACAGGGTGGTCACTGAGACCGGAAAAACCGTTTTCCTGAATTTTATAGCTGGGTTGGGGAGCTAAAGATGATTCCGGAACCCATCATGTAAATATCTTGTTCCTAACAAAGTAAATTCACATGAGAATATCAAACGCAGGACCTAATGCCGAGGGTGAGGCAGCGGGCAGTGTGGGAGGCCACTGCTGCCCCAGGGTGAGATTTTTGGCAGCACTGGAGAATCCTCAGCAGCAGGTGCTGAGGGTCATGCTTGCAACACCAGTGCTGCAGTGCATAGGGGAGTTTGGATACGAACGTTTAAAATAATGCCTTTTAAAAAACGAAGTGAAAAAAAAAAAAAAAAGAAAAAAAAATAAATAAAAAAATAAAATAAAATAAAATAAAAAACGAAGTGGCTCCATCTCCCTTCCCAGTTCTAACATTCTTGGAGTAGTCAGCACCCTGAACACAGCAAGAGGAAGGGGGTTAACGGGGCACGTGTGGAAGCGTGGCCAGAGGAACCACAGGTCACCTGCCAGAAAGGCCTGAAGCCCACGTGCCAGCATAGCCGGGGCGCTCAAGGGGCTGTAGGACAGGCAGCGTCCTGTAGGACCACCTGTCAACTCTCCTTCCCATGACATTTGTTCCTGATAAAAACACACCCCTCTCCCCAGAGGAGACCTGCACAGCAGTCACACACAGAGCATGGTCACGTAGGGCCACTTCCAAAACTCTGGGCCCACCCACATTTCTTTCATAATGCTTATTTTAAAACATGCTTCAACTTGTATTCTCTAAGTGCAGAAATAGAACAAAACGGATTGGGCAAGTGCTTAAAAACCATATCCCCGAGGCTTTTGCTACATGATGGTTCCGCAGTGTGTGGCGGCCGTTTCATGCTGAGCACTGAGGAACCACTCTGCTCCCGCTGTCTCTGCCCCTCCCAGCCCCACTAGCTAATGAGCTAGAGCTGGTCCCCACCTGCTTTTGTGTGGCCTGTGAGCTAAGAATAATTTTCATTAAAAATGGCTTAAAAAATCAAAATTTCTTGACACATGGAAATTGTATGTAACTCAGATTTCCATGCCCATAAATAAAGCTTTATTAGAACAAGCCACACTTATTTGTTTAGGTGTTATCTATGACAGAGACCATATGGCCCCCAGGGCCTACAATGCTTACCACCTGGCTCTTTATGAAAAACACCTGCTAACCCCTAGGACAGATGACCCCGCTCTCTCTGGGACTGAAGATCCCATAGTTCAGATGCAGACAGGGATCCCAGGACAAGCAAGCTTGAGAGATGGCTGCTTCACAAACTATTAAAAAAAATTTCCTTCCCCACGTTCCTAGGCTGTAATTTCTCAGAAATGGACAATCTAAGTTTGAGTTTGGATAGATACATGCAAAATATCGTACGAGGAACAATGCATATTGTTCTACTTCCTCAGCTCTGCCGAAAAGCTCGATCACAAAGTCATTTTTTTCGTGCCACACCTGAAACTGCACCAAAGGCAAAGCGAGGCACAGCAGCAACACGGCACATCCCCACCGGAGCCACGGCAGCTCTGTGTCCGTGTGCTCACCGCCGAGCAGCAACAGGTGGATGGGACAGAAGATCACAAAGGAAAAGACCAGGGTTGGAAGCAGTAACACCACTGGTCGATGCTGCATTTACCCACAGACTCAGATGACAGAGCTGTCAGCCACGGCCTGATTCTCCCACTGCGACTCTGCTGCTGACCAAACACACAGAAGCTGGGGCGTGGGGTGGGGGCAACAAACACCACCAGTTAAAAGCAAGAGCCACTCTTGAGAACAAAGGGGGAACTATCTAAATTTCAGTCTAAACTCAATTAATTCATTCAGTTTACTATTATTACATTTATGAAATTCACCATTGTGGAAAAAGGGAGAAAAGGGGTGGGGATAAGAAAATGCCTATTTCTAAAAAACTTAGAGATGCTTCCACATGCAGTTTGATGCTAAGTTATCTGCAAAACAGATGCGCCTGGAAACCCAACTTAGCGTCTTCTACAAGCGCTGGGGGCTGCTTCACAGTTGCTGAGAAAACGGAGGCTAAGAGTACCGTGCTTGACATCCTTGATGCTAAACTCACGGAGAGAAAGGTGTCTGCAAAGCTTTGCCCTGCACACTAGCCTAGTCTCTTCGACTTACTGTTTAATGGACCCATAATTTTAAGACAAGCAGATGCCTTTCCAAACTGCGAGCTGGGGAATGACTGGAGGCATCAGGAAGCGCCAGGTAGAGGGTGCTCGGCGCCAAGGCTCCCGACTCCCCCAACATCATGAGGGGCACGGGAGATTCCTGGTGACAGGGCTACTCTGCTGCTTCCTGCCCAGAGCACACCCTCATCTGGTCTCTGTGCAGTTCCTGGAGCCCCACCACCACCCATGCTTGTTGGTCCCGACCCTGAGAGGGTCCCAGGGCAGAGGGGCCCACAGGGCATGTCTGTGTGGGAGGTGGTGTCTCAAAGTCGGAGAGGCTGGGGTCACATCGTTAGGCTTGTCAACTCGTCACCTTCACTTTTTCCAATGAGCTGCGGATAAGGCTACTCATACTCCAGGAACTGTTTGTGATAGAACAGCAAGTACCTGCCAGGCAGAGAGAGGAAAATGCTCACACTCTTGATTCAAGAGATGTCAAAACCAAAGCCACTGCCCTAAACCACCCTCTGCACATGTGCCAGAGCCTGATTTCTTGGTTGATGGTTTTGGTTTTTCAATCCCCAAGGGGGAAAGAGCACTTCATTAACTGGTGGCACTGCTCCCGCCACGAGGCCACCGACCTCCCACAGCACAACAGAGCTAAGACTGTCAGGACCACCGCAACAGGGTGCAGCCCAAATCCACCTGCTGCCCTCAAGGCTGCCTTTTAACACACACATTCTTCTATGTAAAACCTCTCAAGGGGGCTTTCCTGTTGCTCAGAATATAAAGCCCAAACCCCTCAAAGAGCCCATGGCAGCAGGTCCCCTTGGTCCCTGGAGGGCACATTCTCTCCCCTCTCACGACCCACTGAGGCCGACATTCTACCTAGAACAAGCCCTTGTTACTTGGGCAACAAACGGAAGGCGGACACCCCTGAATGGCTCAGATATATAGACAGGAAGCAGAGCTGTCTAAGCAGGGTTCTTCTCCCACCCGCCCCCAGACACACCCTTCGCTGTCCAGCACATCCTTAATGCTGGCCTTGGTGATAATGGCATCATCACACTTGAACCACTGGTCTTTGTGCTGCCGGATGAAGCTGGTGTAATGGCCACTCTCCAATGTCCCTTGATGGTTAACGACGGCAAACAAGGAATATCTAGCATGGGAGGGAAGGAACAGGAGAGAGAGCAGCTGACCGTCAGAAACCAGGTAGTCCAGGCAGGGAAGGGGAGGCCCGGCCTGAGCATCGCACCCTAGCAGCTATGGCTGACGCACAGAAGGATACAGAGGGGAAAGAGAACCTGGCCGCCCCTGCTTGCTCTCGCCCACTCCAGCTGCTACCTGAGACCACACCTAGTGGAAGCAGGCAGAGGTAGACACACCAGGATGCACCAGCCTTTGTTCTTCCCGTAACACCAACAGAAGGAAGAACAGTGAAAGGAAAAGAGGTCCCACTGTGTGCAGTGAAGGCAGACATTGAACTCTCCAAATGGAACTTCCCTCCAGCCAGAGCCCAGGGGAGGGGATAGGGCTCCTCCAACAGTGGGGAACGTTTGTAACAATGAGGTGTACAAAGTCCCTCCCCAACAGAGGACAGAAGGCCAGATACTAAGTAGGTCAGCGGCCACAGGAACACGAGCCCTGCCAGTACCACTCCTAAGCATGTGATTCCCAAGAGCCGCTGGTGCCCTACGAGGCAGGGATGCCTGCTCACCTGGTGCGTGACCAGAGGTGCCAGGACACACACCACGGGACACTTACTTGTTGTCGTTACTGAGACTGTCCGTGGGCTGCTGGTACTGTCCGTTCATCCTGCTCTCTTTGCTGTAACGAACAAGGGCGGATGCAGCATCACTGATTAAGTAACATCGTCAGGCAGAGACACAGGGCTCCGGAGACACCAACCACACCAGATGCTGTGCTAAGGTGCATTTCATGTGCTTTCTTGTTCTCCCAACAACTCCATTTGGGGCAGAAGTGATCCCCGTGTTACCTGAGAACACCGGGGCTGGTCTGTGAGGTGAACTGCCTAAGGCACACCTGGGCCCCAAGGCCACCTGACACTACTATGCCCCCTCTGGGGGTGAGGGGGTGGGGAACAGACCCCCAGGCCATCCACTGCCCGAGAATGGGCTTCGTGGTGGAAGCTGGATCTGGGACAAAGACGAGTTTAGTCTGTAACACACCAGATGGGAAGGTGCGCTCTTGTTAAATCCACTCAACAGCCTAGACAGCTGCTTCCTTGAAGGATAAGACTGCTGCTTGTCACTTCACAACTAGCATGTCTCCTGGTGAGACAGGGAAGAGGCAGCACTGGAAACAGGAAAATCCACACTTTATTTATCTCATTTATGTAAGGGTGGCTACCGACAGCAGAAAACACCAAGATCTCTTAAGACCCTGACATTAGCAATCGTACCACCACCTGCATGGACACGTGAAATCATGATCAGACCAGCTCACTTCCCTGGCCACAAGGTTACAGGCTGTCAGCACAGAGCCATAACCCTGGTGGTCTTGTTTTATCTGAGATGGTCACTTGTGTGCCCCAGGGGCAGGACCACAAGGAAAGACACCAGGAAGATGCCAATAATAAAGGCAATTTGCTTTAGATGATGCTGTGTGTTGAGCTGTGTCTTCTAAAAAATAACACCCACGTCTCAGCTCTTGGAGCCTAAGATAGGACCTTACATTGTGGGAAGGTCTTTGCAGATGTGGGAAGCTAAGGATGTCTAGAAGAGATCATCCTGATGACCTGAGTGGGCCGTAAGTCCAGCAACCAGGGTTTCTAGGCGGGAGCAGCAGTGGGAGATAGGACACAGACTGGCAGGAGGAGCCCAAGAGCCCGGAGGCAGCCAGGAACCGAACCTTCCCCGGACGCTTCAGAAGAGGCCCTGTCTGCACCTCAGTTTCAGATTTCTGGCCTCTAACACAGAGAGAAAATTCATTTCTGTCGTTTCAAGCTGCTGACTTTGTGGCTTTTTGTTACAGCAGCCATAGCACGCTAACATGTATTTCATGCATCTATAATAAGCATCATGGTTTTTTTGGAGGATTACATTTTAAGTGGTCTATGATATAAGGATTTGAAACCAAGGAAAATGAAATCTACAACTGCAAAATGAACATTTATTTGTATTTCAAAATCTGTTCTGTCAAATAAAGTGCTGCCTTCTCACTGGGATCCCACCTTGACCAATTCCCAAGTTTGAAAGTTGATAGAGAATTATTAGAGAAATATTCAAAGCAAAACATGTATCTGAGGAAAACCACTTCATTAAAATATGTTTTGTATTTATCAGGATAAATTATTAAGCTTGTGGTAGATAAGGTCTGTATCAACGTCAGCAATCACCCTGTCACGGCCCCGACAGGACCACAGCAATCCCTGCCCAGATGCAGCTAGACAAACCCTCTCCTACCTGGAGGCCATGAAGGGGGTCATGTCCAGTTCCAGGGGAAAGGACACGTACGTGGTGATCTTCCGCCTCAGCTTGGCTGAGTGTTCAAATCGCTACAAAAACAGGAGTTGGGGAAAGAGGAGGAAAGGAGACAAGTGTCAGTCAGCTCCCAGGCTTTAGTGGCTTCCTCCAATGACACTTCTCTGTGCCTTGCACTGTATGTTTTTTAATGTCTTTTGGCTGCATACAGAGCTCACAGATTCAATAACACAACGTTGATCCATACAAACTCCAACATATAGGGTTCAGGTCAAGCCCTGAAATGATGGGATCATTCAGGGGTGACACCAGGGGTCCTACAAAGTCATCTCTCTCAGCAAACATAGCGAAGTGCAGAAAGCAAACGTCCATAACCAGTGGCAGCAAAAATGAACATGTCCTTCCTTTCACCAGACAAAACACACTCCTTTGACTAGATCACGGGCACCAAGTCCAGCCAGTGAGCTTAGAATTGTTGTTTTACATTTTTAAAAGGTTGTAAAATAAAACGAAGAAGAATATGTGGCCTAGGAGGCCTAAAATATTTACTATCTACTATCTGGTCCTTTATGGAAGAAGCCTGCTGACTCGTTAACTAGATCTTAGTGCTAAGTGTCTCTGTAATAAAGAAAGAGTTTTAAACTTGGGCCAGGCGGAGATAGAAAATCTGGGTAGAAGTAATAAAGTCTTAACTACGCGCCCCCCATAGAGTAACTCACATCCTACGTTTTCACTGTGAGGCAACTGAGTTCTGTTTGCCGCAGCACAGGCAAGAAAGTCATCACACTTACAGCCCCGTCTCTCCTCAGCGTTCTTTGCTCACTTGCTGCAATTACAAAACGTATTCTGTCTACCAAACCTACAGGCTGTATATCGTACTGTGGAGTGAATCCAGTCTGCCACCAGCGCTGGCTTGCTGGAAAACTTACTTTGAGATGGAAACAAGCCACAATGGGCAGTTTCTTCATGGTGAGTTGCTTGGTGGACTCTTGGTAGCTGTGGCAGCCGCTGCACTTGATCTTGGCACTGCTTCCCAAGTGCTCTGGTCTGGTGAATCTATGAGGCACATTTAAGAAAGATGGGAAGGGCCAGGCACGGTGGCTCACGCCTGTAATCCTAGCACTCTGGGAGGCCGAGGCGGGCGGATTGCTCGAGGTCAGGAGTTCGAAACCAGCCTGAGCAAGAGCAAGACCCTGTCTCTACTATAAATAGAAAGAAATTAATTGGCCAACTAATATATATAGAAAAAAATTAGCCGGGCATGGTGGCTCATGCCTGTAGTCCCAGCTACTTGGGAGGCTGAGGCAGGAGGATCGCTTGAGCCAGGAGTTTGAGGTTGCTGTGAGCTAGGCTGACGCCATGGCACTCACTCTAGCCTGGGCAACAAAAAAAAAAAAAAAAAAGAAAGATGGGAGATGCAAGAGACAGGAATGAGAGAAGAGAGGTATTTTATCACTTTCAATGGATCGATTTCTCTACTAAAACATATGCATACAGTTAAGGATGTTTATAATTTCACAAGGCAAGAAAGAAATTATTTTTTCCAAAACATTTATTTTAAATATTTTGTTTAGGGCCGGGCGTGGTGGCTCACGCCTGTAATCCTAGCATTCTGGGAGGCCGAGGCAGGCAGATCGCTTGAGGTCAGGAGTTCAAAACCTGCAAGAGTAAGACCTGTCTCTACTAAAAAAAAATAGAAAGAAATTAATTGGCTAACTAAAACATATATAGAGAAAATTAGCTGGGCATGGTGGCGCATGCCTGTAGTCCCAGCTGCTCGGGAGGCTGAGGCAGGAGAATCGCTATAACCCAGAAGTTTGAGGTTGCTGTGAGCGAGGCTGACGCCAGAAAAGTGGAAATTTATATTCACACAAAAACTATAAACAAATGTTTATATAGCGGCTTTATCAGTTAACAGCCAAAGACCTGGAAACAACCCAGATGTCCTCCAGCGGTGAAGGGTTAAACTGTGGTGCAGCCACAAATACTGGTCAGCAACAAAAAGGCACAAACTAGTGACCTGCACAACAGCCTGGGTGAATCTCCAGAGAATATCATGCGTGAAAAAAGCTGACCCCAAAAGGCTACACACCGTACAATGCCACGTACATAACCTTGAAAGGTCAGATTTGTAGAAATGGTGCAGGAGGGGATGGCGGGAGGGCAGGAGGTGCAGCTGTATGGGACGCTGTGGCGATGGAGAGGCCGGGCACTTCCTGCACGGACATCAGCATCCTGGCTGTGGTGCCCACCAGTGCTGAGGGCTATCATCAGGGACACTGGGTAAAGGGTGCACGGGATCTGTGTGATTTCTTACAACTGCAGGGGAACTACAATTATCCCAACATAAAAAGCTTAACTTGATTTCATTCTTCTGGTGACCTGAAGCCAGCCAAGCAGATACACACCTTGGAAGCCCTGGGAGCCACGCCCCTGCCTCCAGGAGCACGCGCCAAGGCCCTGGCTGCGCTGGCCTGAGCCCAAGGAGTTCAAATCCTTGGCCATCCCCTTACTAACCAAAGCTGGGTCCTGCTCCTGGGGCCCCAATGATGTTCACTGGGAACTACCTTCCAGTCCCTTCAGGCCACTAGGGCAGCCTGGGCCACCCTAACATGGTCAGCATATCTCCTTGGCCCAGGCGCAGAGCCTCTGGACCCTGACCGGACCCAACCCAACACCCCACAGAGCCACAGGCACCCCTAGGAGAGGCAAGGTCAACACCGCCTAGATGAGCCCTGCCTAAACCCGCCCCACAGCCTCCCTTCCCTACCGCCGCCGGCATCCCTCGCCACAAGTCTGATGGAAGAGGCAGTCCCAGCTACTGCACCAGCCATTCCCGGCCCAAGGTCCCAAGTCATCCTGGCCACAGATGTGAGGCTTTATATAAGCTCACGAACGCCATGACTTGTGTGCCAACCACCCTTGGTTCCCAGAAGGCACAAGCTTTGCACCCCTTCTTCCCATGATACTGTTTTCCCGACACTCTGCCTTTATTCAGTTGTAACCTGCGAGGCTCTCGCCAAGGAGGCATTTTCCTCTTTTGTTGGCCCTCCCAATAAAATGGTACACAAAGGTGGGGGGAAAGTCTTCCTTAAAGAACTGAGATGTCTGGGGAAATTAATTTTCTAACGGTGAGGAGAAAGGCTCCCCTCCTTATGTGACAGAAGGGCTGTGTTAAAAGCATTTCTGGCCTAGGCATGGTAGCTCACACCTGTAATCCCAGCACTCTGGGAGGCTGAGGTAGGAGGATTGCTTGAGATCAGGAGTTGGAGACCAGCCTGAGCAAGAGGGAGACCCCATCTCTACTAAAAATAGAAAGAAATTAGCCGGATAACTAAAAATATATAGAAAAAAATTAGCCGGGCGTGGTGGCGCATGCCCGTAGTCCCAGCTACTCGGGAGGCTGAGGCAGCAGGATTGCTTGAGCCCAGGAGTTGGAGGTTGCTGTGAGCTAGGCTGACGCCACAGCACTCTAGCCTGGGCAACAGAGTTAGAATCTTGTCTCAAAAAGAGAAAGAGAAAGAGGGGGAGGAAGAGGGAGGGGGGAGGGAGAGGGAGGGAGGGGGAAGGGGAGGAGAGAAGAGAGAGGAGAGAGAGAGGAGAAGAGAAGAGCTATAGAATACCAGATTCAATTAAAGTTTAGAATGTCTTCCTGATCTCTTCACAATTACATGCTACAGCTATTCGAATGTATTTTCCAACAAACACTCCCTATATATTATCACCTATCTGAACTAATGAAATGGTAAATGGACAAATTAAAAAATGACTGCAAGTACAGAAGACCACATGTATGTTTCTAATCACTTGCAGAAAAGGCCATGTACCATGGGGTGGGGCAGCTCCTCTTAGTTCACACTTTGGTGTAGGTTATTAACCACAAAAGGTGCAGGAGCTCCAAGTCTTGCTCTTTGGCTCTCAGTTCATGTACACTGGAATGTGGAACAGTAGCTGGTGATTCAAATATCTATACCATGCAAAGCTGGTATCTACTCTTCTTGGAGAGGGAAAAAACCCGGCAAAGTAGCCCGAGCAACTGCAGGCTAATGTCCTGTCTGTTTTCAAGGCTCTGTCGTGGGCATGTGAAAAAAAATCCCCATTTGGTCCTGATCACCCCTGCTTCTGAACAGCCTTCCCATGAGGAAGACTCTGGTGGGCTTCTCACCTTCGCAGGCAATCCGTGAGCGTGGTGGTTCCTGACACGTGGCTCTCTCCATTCACCACGCTGCCCTCACTCCCAGGGCTCAGGGGCCAGAACGGGGTGGAAGAGCCAGGCAGATCTAAACTGATGTCCCAGAAGGGGTCTATTGTGGTGGAGACTCCACTAGAAGCAAAGGGAAACAGAAGCACATGAGGACTGCTGTCCACTGCGGCTCCTGGGGCAGCGCCATGTGGAGGATGCCCCATCCCCTTCCTCACTTCACCCTTTTACATGAGCATCAGCTCAGGTTGGACACAGAGTAGAGTGCTCACATCTAGTGTGTTCTGAACTCCCAAGGTGTCCCCAGGAAGGGATGTATGAACCCCTAAGGTCAGGGCTGATCCTAAAGCAATGATTTTCCAAACCCAGAAGACCATCACAATCATTTAGGGATATCCTTAAGATTAAAAATTCACAGGCCCCAGTCCAAAGGCTCGGAATCCACGGATCTCTCTCAGCTGCACCTGGGAACCTCCTACCCTGGGTGGTAAGGGAGACCTCCAAGCACACTTCCTGGAGAGTGTGCACTAGAGCCAGGCCTGGCAGCCCCAGCTGGGGCACTTGATGCTGCATTTAACAAGACCAATTCCTTCCTACAGAATTATTTCACAACATAAAAAAAGAAAACTCAGATTGGAAAAAGTAGTATAGATATTTAAACAGGATTTAAAACTGAGACAATCTCCTGCTAATAGAATTCAGTAGTTAAGGGTTTGTGAGGAGATCGGAACTGCTCAGAGCAAACTCTGAGCCCAACCAAACTGATTAGAACCAAGGCACCACGTAATCTATTATCCGTACAGAAAGCTTCGCCTTGACACAGGCAGCTCTGCCCTTTCCAATAACCAATTGGCCTTACGTAGACTACAAATGGCAATCTATTATGGGTTCTGAAGTAATTTTAGTGGATTGTGACCACATTTAAAAAAAATCGATCTATACTTACCCTTGCCACTGATCAGAAAAAGAAAAAATTTAAGTTAAATATAAGTTAATTAAAGAAAAAAGAAATAAAAAATATTTAAAAAGAAAAAAAAAAATCGATCTGCAATAAAAAATAGAGCCAGGTCCAACAGCCTGTAGTCCCAGCTACTCAGAAGGCAGAAGCAGGAGATCACTTGAGCCCAGGAGTTCAAGGTTACAGTGAGCTCTGACGATGCCACTGCACGCCAGCCTGGGTGACATAGTGAGACCCCTTTTCTTTTTTGTTTCTCCCACCTCAGACCCCGTGAGACCCCATTTCTAAAAGTAACCAGCAGCGTGCACTGAGTTTGAGTAAGAGGGTTCCTCTAACCTAACAAGGGATTCTCTTTCTGGCTCTAGAAGCTTGGAGCACTATGCAGAGGCCACACCTGGAAAAAATTAGGGCCACTGCATTAGACAAAATGGAAAAAGAAACCATAAATTATTTAAAACTAATACACTTAGGAACGCACGTCAAAAATCTGCCATTTGTGATCTAGCCCTTCATGAAATGGGCCTGTTGTATTTGGTTCCTGGCGTCAAGGTCTATAAGGGAAGCAGAGAAATGGGGGTGGGGGGCAGCTCCCAAAAACACATTGCATGGTGTGGACAACAAGGACCTCAACACTGAGGGTGCACATCAGAAATGACCCACACTTGAGGGTGCCCATGGAGGCACCAGCCTCTCCAAGAGGACGAGGCCCACCTGCCAAGACCTTCACACTCAGAGCGTCTAATCATCATTTCTCTGATATCTTTTCAATTAGAGCTATTCTGTCTCAACAAATGACAGTGGTGTGGCTGTCTAACAAAACCACTTCTGCCTCTTGGCTGGCTGCTGCTGTAGACAGGCCACTGTAAGAGCCAAAGAGCCTAGTGACCTATCATCAAGATGGCCTGGTAGGGGTGGCGTCCACCATGCTCTGGGCCCAAGAATCTACTTTAAAGCCCGTTCAGAGCAGATGGCTATGCTGGTGAAAATGTGCTGTGGTGCTGGCACAGCTGGGGCCAGTGCTGATGCTGCAGAGCACACTTACTGGCAGACTTGGCACGTGACATCTGACTGCAGCCCCCCCGTGAAGATCTGGTCAATGATGCAGTTGCAGTGGTTGGGGTTGTTCGCCTTCTTCCCATTATCATCACCTGAAGACAGACCACACTCCATGATTAGCATCTGTATGCCATAAAGATGGCAAGGTCTGAAGAGAAAGATACATCTGCCCAGCAGGGGCCCAAGGAAGCCAGGAGTGCTGACACTCTGGTATTCATCATTTCAACAGACTTGGCAGAGGATCCCATCATTATTTTAATGTGATAAGAAATCGGACCTGTTGGATTTCTAACTCTTCTTTTTCTCATTCCTTAAGAACAGTGCCTTACCTTCTTTCTATCCTGACAACAAAGTACATCTAATGTCTAATAACTGGGCAGAGTTATTGATTCCCTTTTTCATATACAGAAACACTGAATAAATATGTTTCTAGTGAGACAGCCAAACTTATTGTGGGCCAAATATTCCCTTCTCCCTTCCTTGACTAGGTAAAACGGTGCCCTTAGATCAGAAAATGTCACATTATGATGCTCTCGGGCTTTTCCCCACCAGCTCATGCACTCTCACCCCAGGTAAGCAGCTTGTCATCCGGGCAGGTGTACCTAGAGAAGTGCCATTTCCACTCACTACTCAACACATGTTTTATTCATTTATGTGTATGTAGATAAATAAAAAGTGTATGCAGCAAAATACAACACATACAACTTCATTCAACTAGACAATGGGGATAGTGTGTGGCCATGTTATACGTTATACTCTATCAAACTGAATTATTACAGAAGAATAAAGAATGGCCTTTGAGTTTCTGATAGCAGAAAGTTTAACATTACAGAGAAAATGCTGCCCAGAAGGATCTCAAATTCATGGGACAGAGTGTTAGGCTACAGAAAAACATAACACACACAAGAAATATACAAAATACAAACACACAGGAAACAGTGGTGGCGGCCCCCATGCCTTAAACAACTGCACTTCCCCATGTGCACTGTGGCAGGGCTACCTCACTACAGGGTTCTGATCACCACTTTACATTTGTTTCCAGACATTTCAATGGGAATTATGTCAGAAGTAGATCACAACAGTTTCATCATTTTGTGCTTACATGAACATTTTAACAGAAATTCATTTTCAAACAACTGATTTTTAGATCAGATTTCTGCTGGTTGCAGAAGGCTCTTAATTATTCTCACCGGGTACTTGGAATAATAATTCAATAATCTTCCACAATTGTTCCTTTCTGTTGTATGTTACAAATCATATTAGGAAACCACATTTTACCTAAGCTATTGAGCAACTTTGATTCCTAGGACAATTAAAAGGATCAAACATACATTTTCAGCAGAAAAAATTTAAGTGCCAAAAACCAGAACCCAACTCCATGACAGTGCATTAAAACCAGACATCTCACCTCAAAGTGCACATTTCTGAGCTGGACCCCAGACCTCACTGGGCGACTGTGGGTGCCAAGCGGCAGCTCAGCTGAGAGACTGACATGGGGAAAGCCAGCTCTTCAACAGAGTGACCCGGGAAACAGGATTTTGTTTTTCAAAAGACACCAATTAAAGAGAAAATTAGCTGGTAGGATATTGCCTACAACTAGCTGTGCCAGCCCAGAGGCCACAAGTGACCCACGGGCAGCCAGGTCCCTAGTCAGCTGAGCACAGTAGTCCTCAGTGCAGCACCTGAACCAGCAGCATCAGTATCACCTCTGGGCCCAAGGAATCAGAAAACCTGAACGACATGTTTCAAGGAGCCTACGGGTGACCAGCCCATACTCGTTTGAGAATCGACACCAGCTGGTACCTGTGCTAACAGAGTCTAAGCCATTGGTCCTCCACACTGGGACCCGAGAGTGAGGAGGGCAGAGGGGTCGAGCTTGGTGCCAGTGGTTCAGTCCTCATCTCCCACCTCCAGTCCCCAAACCATCAAAACTCACATATATCTGAGCACCCTCGGGGGCCAGGCTACGACACTATGTTATGAGAGAAGCCAAGTTCCAATAAGATCCCAAAAGAGGCTTTAAAACAAAAGGCTCTTTATTGGAATCAGAAAAGGATGTGGCCCCGTGTCAGGGAGTGCTAGCAAGCACACGGGCAGTGCTGTTCCCGGACACTCTGGCCACTGCACAGCAGCAATCAGTCCTTCTGGAAACCCCGCAGGGGAGGGGGACAGTTTTGCCAGCTAAGCTGTGTTTGGGGATTACTCAGAGGCCTTAGGCCTGATAACCCAGATGAATCCCAAAACCACCCCAAGCAGGCAGAGACCCCAAACCACGCTGGGCGTTCTGAAATTTCACTGTTCACCATGATGGGTCAGAGAGAACAGACCGCTAGGCTGCAGAAGCGATTTCCTCATCTCTTAAACTGTGAAGAGAACCTCTCTGAGGTAATTAGGGTGTCTTCTTATTGGACAAAAAAGGACTCTGAAGCCTATAACATAATCAAATGTCAGCCACGCTGCTTTGCACAAGTGCGCACTTGCTCTGCTCCCTCTCGTCAAGGAAACCCCTATCCTGACCCTGGGAGAGGCACAGGAAGTGTGGCCAACCTTTGCAGTGCCGATGTAAGACATCCAGGGCTGCAATGAGGAACTCGTGGGCGTCCTGCTGCTCGTAGCCCGCCAGGTGCCGCGCGTGGGTCCATACCAGGTGCAGCAACTTATATGGGATGTGAGGGGACCGGTGGCCAGAGTAAAACTGCTCCAACAAGGAAAAGGGATAAACTGGTCAGGAATAAACATGGACTCTGAACACAGAACACACAGCAAAAAAACACTGAATAGCTGCCTACAATTGGTAAGGCTAGTTTGACAAAAATGGCTCAATTTTACTTTAAAAAAACTGTATTTTTATTTGGACTCACTGGACTCTTTGAGTGTGCATATGAGTTTCTCTCTTCCCGTCTAGTTTTCTACAGATAAGCCTAAATGTTGAATTACGACTTGCAATGTGAGATTAAATGCATATAAAAATGATTCATTTTGCCCAATACTAGTTTACTCAAAGCACCAAACCACCTCAGGCCGGTGTCCATCAGTGCTTCCACACAGGGAATCACACATTACTGTGATTACAGAAAATTCAAGAGCATCAGCCAGACTCTCCCGCTCCTCCAGCTCTGAGGCTAACTGGGGGCCTGCCAGCCAGTTCTTCCCACTGGATGCTCGGGACACTAGACCCAGTGTCATAGCTTATATTCTATGGCTTCCTAACTAGGTAAAACTCCACAGAGGGTTCTTGCCTGCTCAGATACAGAAGCATGAACATGTACAACCATTTGACATTCACATTTCAGATTTTACCTTCTGAGCTAAAATTAACTTTGCTTAGAACAGACACATAGTATACCTTTCTTATGAACAGATCTCTAATTTTAAATGACAAATTCTGAAAGTGCTCATGGAAACAAAATGACATGGTAACATATTATTAATAGATAATAATGAAATTAACTTCTTTCAAGTTCTTTCAAGTTCCAAAAGGCTTACTCTCAAAACACTCACCTACTTGATATTAACTGCCAGTTGTTTACAAAGAATTGTCACGAGGTGGGCAAGGAAGAACACATCAAATTCCTCATGAGGCTTAAGGTTTACACTTGTGCAATGACAACAGGTGAGAGCAGAGAATAGCTATGAGGAAAAGAGATGCTAACAAGTTATCTGGTAAAGAAAAGAATTAGAGCCACTGTCCACAGGTAACAGAAAATGAAACTGCTCATCCTTACAGAAAGGGAAGGAATGAGAAGAGGCTTAGCATACCCTGGACGCTGTGACTCAGGAGCCAAGGCCCAGCCACAGTGGAACTCCTCTGTGAAAGTGTTTTGTTAGACTGATACAGAATCTCTTTAAGGTGCAAAAATGCAAAGTCTTCATTACATTAACTATAAAACAAATACCTAGCAATAGATTATGTGGTAGAAATCTAACAAAAAGGCCAAATCTCTAAACAAACTGCACAACCCACCTCTCCACCTGTGCACTGAGAGCCCTCCAAGGACCCACACTGCAGAGCCATGGTCCTCACAGCACGGTCCCTGGACCAGCTGCAGACGCTACCCTAAACCTACACACAACTAAGAAGAGAGATTTCAAACACATGATGCAAGAACTACTAGAATTGAACAGAGTAATAGGCAAACCTAGTTTCAGCTGGCAATTTCAAAACTCTTCCTTCAGCAGCACAAGTACACAGAAAGGATCTATGGGCAGGGACACTGAAGACCCTTTATCATTATGTAATGTTCCTTCTCATCCCTGCTGACATGCTTTGTCTAAACAGGAATGTAACACTGTTCATCATATGAAAAAATTCAATGCATTTTACATTAACAAAATAAAGGTCACATGACCATCTCAATAGCTGTAGAAAAAACATTGGAAAAAGGCAACACATCCAGTCATGATACTCTCAGCAAACAAGGATTAGAAGCAAATTCCTCAGCCCACTAAAGCGCGTTTAAGATAGATGCATGGTGAAATCGTGCTTGATCGAGAACAAGGCAAAGACGTCTTATCTTGCTACTCCTAGTCAGCATGACCCTGGAGGGCCTACTCAGCAAGGTAAAGCAAGGAAAAGAAATAAAAGGCATACAGATTGCAAAGAAAGGAGTAAAGCCTTCTTCAGTCAGATTTATGACACGATCACCTACCCCGATGAATCTGGGGATGGGGGCATTACTAGAACTAAAAAGTGAGTTAGCGAGGTCACAGAACAAAAGTCAATATGCAAAAACTAACTCTATTTCTAGGTACTAGCAATGAAAAATGCAAAACTGAACCTAAAAACAGTACCATTTCAATAGCATTAAAACCATGAAATACATACAAGATTAAGATACTGAAAATCACAAAACACAGATAAGAGAAATTAAAAACCGAAATAAATGAATGAAGAGAGATACTGGAGAGAAATGCTAATTTCCACACAAAAGCCTGTAATGACATATAAATATTTATGGTAGTTTTATGCATCAAAAAACTGCATAAACAACTCAAATACCTCTGAACTGGGCAATGACAACTAAACACAGTCTGCCCATACAATGTGACTACCCATCAATGAAAAGCACACACTGCTGACACGTGGGTGAATCTCCAGTGCAAAATCTACCATGGTAATTGGCTTTGCAGGGCAGATGGTCTCCCCCTAGCTGCTCAACTCCGCATCTGTGGCTCCACAGCAGCCACTGACTACGTGTGAGTGGGCGGGCCTGGCTTCATTCCAGGCAAAGGCTGCTGAGACAAACAGAAGGGTGTTTTCGGGTTCCTGTGCAAGGTACCTGAAGAGCATCTGGGTCCTCTCAGTAACCTATAGGTTAGGTACCAGCACCATTTTTTAGTTGGGGTGACTGAGTGGCTCTGGGTCTGATAACTTCATCTGAGGTTGCCAAGCAGTGGATGCTGAGGCACTGGCCCAGGTGAGCCTTGACCCTAAGCTCCACTGTGTCCTGCCCCCCGGCTGGGGGCATGCCGAGTGCACACGACGACCAGATCAAGGGAATAGAGTGAGTGCAGGGCAGAGTGCAGCAGAGGCTTAGATGAAGCACACGGAGAAAGGGCTGGCAGCAGAGAGGACCCACTTTTCTTGAGAATGATGCAGGAAAGTGGCACGTGTACCTCTACACGCCTTCCCAAACCAGGATGGCACACAATGGAGGAAGGGGGAATTGCCACAGTCTTTACAGAGACAGATGCCAGCTGCCACTGGACTCCTCACCATGCCCTTCGGGGGCTCCTCCTCCTCGAGTCAGTGGCCCGCCTCTGAGAATTGCACCAACAGTCGCTTATCTAATAAGCCCTTTTGGGAAACTGTGTCCTTTTCTGTAATAAATGCACTTATTAAATATTTACTCATTGCATAAATTTCTAAATTTGCCTTCCTGTGTATTACTGTCAACCTTATTTTACTTTTTTCAAAAGGGCAAAACAAAGTAGTTACAGAAACAGTCCGCTGCAGAAGTCACAGCACTCACCTCCTGAAAGAGGGAGGACATCTCACAGACCAGACAGGAGCTGGGGCTCTGCATTTCACAGCGGTGCCTGTCCGACAGGAAGAAGTCCCGGAGGAGCGGTGTGTGGGTCAGAGCTTGGACGATGCAGTTCATGAAGCACGTGTTCCCCAGGTTGATTAGCCCTCGCAGACCTGGACAGAGGCCACGGGAGAGCGCGAGTTATGACACCTGTGCAGTTATGACCTGCACGTACTGCTGAATCCCAGTAGCTTCCTTTACATCTCCAAGTGCAGCCATTTTCTCTTATTCATTCATTCAAGAACAAGAAAAAGGTAGTATTTCTCTAATTTTTATACCACTTTTAAATGAACTGTATTGAGGAATGCCCACCACCACACCCTACCTACTTTTGCCATTATATGTTTTGACAGAATTACCCAAATACATTTTCTATGACAGGAGGCCAGATTAGAATGGAGCTTCTCTAACTGAAAAAGCTTTGAAAAAATGTTCTAAAAGGCATTTCCTCAATTATCAGAAAATTCAGCACACACTCACACATAACTTCTCTCCCTAAAGATGACTATACCCAGCTTCAACCTGCCCAGATGAAATGTAAATAAAGACACACACAGAATCTGAAGCCATGGGGCAGGGACCATTCCCACTAGCCACTGCTCCCCAAGTCTCCCACAGGGCCCCACAGAGAACAGGTGTCACAACCTGGCTGTGGAGCAAACTGATGAGTGACAGTCACACACCATGGAGTTACGAAACCCATAACTTTACATTCACTTTTAAACTCCGAGGAAGAAGCCTAAGAGTGAAAACAGAGCAGGCTCTGTGCACATGGCCCTGACTCACCTATGGTGCAATTAGAGGTGATCTTCCTCCTCTTTGGGTTGTGCTTCAGCAGTTCAAGCTCCCGTTTGGTTGGTTCCCAAGTTGAGAACTTCTCTCCAACGCCTAAGCAGATAAAGGACAGTGCCAGGTGCTGTTAGCTAAACTGTCACCAAGTGTGTTTATAAATAAACATGGTCATGTATCATCTATCAGGCTGTATTTCAAAGAGAGTTATCCCTAACATTTGGGCTTTCTAAAACTCTACTGTGCTGAGATGGGCTAAACAGAACACTTGAAGGGATTTTTCTTGGAGTGTGTGCTGAGAAACACCTCCAATCAAAGATACCCCAACAATGAAGCCAAGATGGTTGTTTTTCAGATGCCCTTCAGTGCCAGAGACTACAGAACCGGCACCAACAAGAACTACTTAGCAACTGAGAATGAGTCAAACTATCAGAGAGAAAACGTGCTTTTGAGCAAAATAAAATAGATCTAACTGTTGAACAATCATATGCCATAAAATATTCACACCAAGAATGGTAAAAATGCTAATAAGCATCACATATCCTAACACATACCCTATTCACTGAGAAGTACTTGTTCCATGCTACCTAAAATTTCTGACTAATAGAGATATACCCACACTTAGTTGCAATGTTATTAAAATTTGAGGGGTGAAAAATAGGAAATACAAATCAAAAAGATTACTCTCCACAAAAGATTTGTTAAAACCAAATAATGCTTATGACTGAGTTCACCTATTTCTATTCTTCCATTCTCAAAAAATTAGAATGCTTTTAATCAGACCAATCAAGGCAAGAATAATGTACAACACCTGCCAGGTGTCATGCAAAACATGCTCCCTTTGCAAACAATAACTGTTCTGCTACTTGGGAGATAAGATGCTCACCCATCAACTGGGACAAACGATACCCATCACAGGCACTGTAAACAACTATGGGCATTTGTTGGAACTAAAAACTAAAAAAAGAAGAAAAAATTGGGAAACCAAGAGGAAAGAAATGATAAAGAACAAGGTCATATAATGTTTGCATATCTCTGATTCTATGTAGCCAATAAAGAGCGAATGTGGGTGTCCATCCCACCACCTGCTCATTGTTGCCACCACCATGTAGGGGAGTCGGGGCCAGGGCCAGTCACCACCGTAGTTGCCTGAAGGCTGTGGGTATACACTGGCCCCCCAAGCTACCAGGCCTGCAAGTGCGGTATGTGTAAGGCTGGTGGCGGGCCCCCTCCCTTCCCTGGATCAAAAAGAGAAGACTCATGAGACCAGACCCGCCAAGGACAAAGCTGTCAGGCCCTGCTGAGAGGATCCACACCCAGATGTCCACCTAGATAAGAATGTTTTGGCTCCTGGATTCCACAAACACCTCCAGCCCCTCCTAAAATCCCCAGCTCTTCCCGCCAAAAGTCCCTAGCCAGGCCCAAAGGATATAAAAGGCCTCAGCCCCTTCAAACTGCGGCGACTTCCGGGGCCCCGCTCTTGGGGCCCCAGAACCTCGTCCACGAGTGTATAATAAAGCCACGTGGTTTGGCCCCCCACTCTTTCTCTTTCTGTGTCTCTTTTCTTTTCGCCACCGCCGAAAAACCTTACAGTATGGAGCGCTTCCTTAGGGCTAGGGGAAGATCCCCGAAGTGGATCAGAAGAATGGATATGGCTTTGTGGAGTCTGATGATCTGTGTGATGCAGATGCTGTTTATGAACTGAACGGCAAAGACCTCTGTGGTGAGCGAGTAATTGTTGAGCATGCCTGCGGCCCACATGAGATGGCAGTTACAGTTCTGGAGGCAATGGATATGGTTATAGAAGAAGTGACCGAGATAAATATAGCCCTCCTACCTGTACAGAGTACAGACTTATTGCGGAGAATGTGTCAAGTCAGTGCAGCTATCAAGACCTAAAGGATTATATGCATCAGATAGGAGAAGTGACTTATGCAGCTCCTCATAAGGGACGAAAAAACGAAGGGGTGACTGAATTTGTATCTTATTCTGATATGAAAAGAGCTTTGGAAAAGTTAGATGGAACTGAAGTCAATGGCAGAAAAATCAGATTAGTTAAAGACAAGTCAGGTTCCTGACCACGCCAGTCCTAATCCAGGAGCCAGAGCCATTCAAGGTCTCACTCTCAAAGCAGACATTTCTGTAAGAGCAAAGCTAAAGTGGCAGCAGCAAAAGCAGTCATTCTAAGAGTAGATCCCTATCCAGGCTGGGCTCCTACTCCCAAAGCAAGAGCCGCAGCCGTAGCCAGAGCTGGAGTCAAAGCAAGAAAAAGAAAAGCAGGCGCCCAGCAAGGACAAGAGCCACAGATGCAGCGCAGGCAAAAGCCACAGCAAAAGCAAAGCCCAAGCTGAAGAGAAGATCCAGAGCAATGACAGTGCTGGGACATCCAAGAGCCAGAGGCCCAGCAGGCATAAAAGTAAAAGGATGAGTCAGAGCAGGAGTCAGCAGAGGACAGTGGAGGAGAAGCAAGGGAGTGTGAGCGGGAGCTGGAGCCAGAAGGGCCTCCTCAAGAGTCGCAGCCACAACTACAGCAGAGGGGCAGCAGGAGCCACAGAAAGAGCAAGGGCAGGATGAGAAGCAGGGAAGAGAGCTGGAGCAAGAGTGAGAGGAACAGAAGCTGAGGCAGTGATTAAGACAGCAAGGCAGGCAGCAGCAAGAAAAAGGAGGAAGACACTGACTACTCCCAGTCCCAATCACAGTCCCGCACAGAGTCAAAGGAGCAGGCACTTGCCAAATCCTAGTCTGGCTGGAGGGAAGGCTGGAGGAGAATGAGGATGCTGGTACAATCAGGAGTCCCAGTCTAGGTCAAGACCAAATTCCAAATCGAAACCAAACCTTCCATCAGAATCACGCTCCAAGATCAAAGTCAGCTTCAAAAACCCGATCTTGGTCCAAGTCTCAATCTAGGTCTGTTTTCAGATCACCTTCCTGGTCTAGAACTAGGTTCCACTCAAGGTTCTAACTGGCTATGACCACAGCTGGAACTACTCAAGAATCTTTTTTGTACATGTCTGGTAGTCAAAGCACAAGTGACTGAAGTAGAACATGACACTGCCATACATTTTTAACTCTCCTAATGGTGTGTCTATAATTGTCGAATCTAAGTGCTTCCTCTCAGTAAAGCATTCCTGCTTGACTGAAAAAAATTTTCTCTTTGAAAACCTCCCTTTACATGAGTAGAATATCCGAAACGTCTTGGGTTTCAGGCCTGGCCTTTCTTTCCTGCAGGAGCTCAGTGCCTGGACGGTGCCAAGGCTGGAAGGATGACATAGGTAGGTATGGTCACTCAACCATATTTGCTCTTGAATCGATGATGCCCTGTGATGTATGTCATTTAGTGAAAGTCTAAGTCTTAAGTTTCCTGCCACTTTGGTTTCTTATTTTTAGACTTAACAAAGTTGTGAATAGCATGGTTGAGGAAAACTGATACCTGTAGTAACCCATAGGAAATAAACTGTTCCACATTCTAGTATTGTGATTATATTGTTTTATATTTAAAAAGAAAAGAATTTTTTAAATTCTATTTTTCCCCATCTTGCAAAGTATAGTGACCCTGTTTCCATTAAATATGAATAAAGACTATTTTTGCTTAGGGAAAAAAAAGTGAATGTGGGGCAAGGAACTGACAGTAAGTGAGAAACCCACACTAGTAACACAGCAGCAGGGGCACCCCACAACAGAACAAGAGTCCAAACCGTCCAGGATGGTTAAGTGATACACTATTCTGTTTTCTATTTGGCAATTTCTATCTGTTGACACAGATTTAACATCACCCAAACATTCCGGAGTTTTTTTTTTTTGTTTTTTTTTTTGAGACAGAGTCTCGCTTTGTTGTCCAGGCTAGAGTGAGTGCCGTGGCGTCAGCCTAGCTCACAGCAACCTCAAACTCCTGGGCTCGAGTGATCCTTCTGCCTCAGCCTCCCGAGTAGCTGGGACTACAGGCATGCGCCACTATGCCCGGCTAATTTTTTTTTTATATATATATCAGTTGGCCAATTAATTTCTTTCTATTTATAGTAGAGACGGGGTCTCGCTCTTGCTCAGGCTGGTTTTGAACTCCTGACCTTGAGCAATCCGCCCGCCTCGGCCTCCCAAGAGCTAGGATTACAGGCGTGAGCCACAGCGCCCGGCCCATTCCGGAGTTTTAAAAGAGATTCTACAACAATTCAATCAGCAAAATGGTCTACCCTTCTGTAAGGAAGCAGGTGTGTTTATGTATTTATAGTTATTACTAATACTACTATGGAGAGAGAGCTTTCCAGATACTGCAAAGCTGAGGGCAAACTACTCTTTGGAGATTTCTGGACAATGAATGGCCTGGCCACCAGATGAGATACAACACAACTTTGTTTGCTTCAGCTCCACGTCTGCAAATAGGCCTTGGAAGACCTAAGTGCTGCTGTATGTTCTTCTTTCTCAATCCCACAGCAGACCTAGGAGAGGGAAGTGCCCGAGGAAACAGTCCCAGGGCACAGGGAAGCTGAGCAAAAGGCAGAGCCAGCCCCTCCCCTGCCACACCTATTACTTCAGTTGACTCCACCATGGGCCTAGGGGCAGGAGCAAGCAGGTGGGGTCTCTTCCCACCAAATCACCACCTTCCACTCCCACACACTCCCTAGGTGCTTCTCTTTCTGAGGTCTGCCCTTAACAGGCATGAGAGAACTGCAGGTTGAGAGATCAGGCAGGTAAACTTGGGCAGAACCACACCTTGCAGTTTCCAAGCTTTCCGCTGCTCCTCTTTGGCGATTATTTCCATGTCTTTGTCATAGATGTAGTCTTGACACAAAAAGCAGTATATGCCTCCATACATCAGATCGATGGCTGAAAAGAGAACGGAAGGAAGAAATATAAAGCTTAATTAGAAACTATAAGAGAATGCCTTAAGACAGAGTTAAACACTAAAGTGAAGGTTTTTAGACATCAACTGCTGGCAGCATCTCCTTAACTCTGACGCAGTCCAGTGGGGTTTCATAGCTGAGGCTGAGCAGGTGTACTGTGTCTGGAAGCTCCTGCCAAGGGCTGAGGAATCTGAGACAGAGAGAGAGAGAGGCAGCACACATACCAAAGGAGTTAATATTGAGTACAGGGACCTCTGCTTTCTTCTCCGAATGTGTAATATTTAAAACAGTAGTAAAAATTCATAGAATATTTTAAATTCATAAATATTTCTGACCAACTGGCATAGAGTAACCACTAAGCTTCACTACATCTAGGATTCCTGATACTAATATCATCCCACCAGAGTCAGAGCTTCAAGTGTATCCATCCATCCCCTCCCCCTCACCTGCCTGACACCTGATGAATGTTATATAAGTGCACTTAAGTGTTGATCAGTTAAAACCAATTTAATGATTGAGTATATGTGGTGTTTGTTTTTCCATTCTTGTGATATTTCACTTAGTAGAATGACCTTGACTTCGTGACCCAGAGCTGTCTGCTGCCCACATCTGGGCGGGTCTTATGTACTTTCTCAACTACATCATCCAGAAAATAAAAGATAGGACTACTACCAGGGCTCTTAATTACTTTATTATAAAAATAAATAAGATAATGTCTTTTGAATGCCTGGAAGAAAGGTCCTCTCTCAATTCAACAATTAAAAAAAACTGGGGTGCGCAGTAGCAGGCTGCAATTCACTGTGCACCGTCAGATGTCTGGGAGGCAAGGCAGTGAAGGGCACAGACCTAGATGACTGGCATGACTCCTAGCACTGCCACGCAACAGTGATGCACCGTGATCAATCACTCCACTTCTCCAGCCTCAGTTTGGTAAAATGTTGACAGTGACAGCACCAACGCCCCATAGGCTTGTGTGACGATTAAATTAGTACATAATTCAAGTGCGTCTCCTGATAAACAGTAATGTCTTTTAAAAAAATCATGATTTTAACTATATTTTATGTCTTAAGTCACTATGACTTATATTAATATTGTGGTAGATCTTTAAAGTCCTCTAAAGCTGATCTACCGTGTTTCCCGGAAAATAAGACAGGGTCTTATATTTATTTTTCCTCAAGAAGACACCCTAGGGCTTATTTTCAGGGGATGTGTTATTTTCCCCTCAAAGCCTCCGCTTGCAGCACACACAAGATGGCTGGGACATGACAGGGGAGCCAACCTTGTTGGTGGGGCTGTCCGCACCTTTTCTGGTCACCTCTGGGATAGTAGCTGTCATGATGGGGCAGATGAGAAGGGCTGCTCATCTTCCTTACCGCTACCCGACGAAATGCATGGGTTGTGCAGATATGCTGCATAGCCACGCCCATCACTAGGTCTTATTTTCGGAGTAGGGCTTAGAAATCCTCCTAGGGCTTATTTTAAGGGTAGGTCTTATTTTCGGGGAAACATGGTACTAAAACTCAAAATAGCAATTTTAGAATCCCATGGGTATACTCTGCTCCTCTCAAAAAACTGACAAATTCCAACAATTTTAAAGTCATCATCAGAGCTTTTAAGGAGAGCTCAGCCTGCCTTTACATATTCCCTAGCAGTATGATTCCTAGCATGTAGATATCAGAGAAAAATCTTGACAGAGACAAGCTTACAATAAGGACAATGAGAGTTTTCAATAAAGCAGAAGCATTCAATGGCAAATGTGCCAAGTATAGCCGACAACAAAAACACTACCCTGGGGAAGATGCAGAATCATCGCAGTGTGTTTAAGCCCTCGTAGACCAAGCTCTTCTTCAAGGCACTTTCACACAGCAACACTCCCACAGTGTATAAAACCAGCTGAGGTCAACAAGATGCCAGGACATTCAAAGGGGGTAAGGACAGTCTCTTTAACAAACAGCTGGGACATCTGGATATCCACACACAAAAGGATGAAGCAGGCTGGGCACGCTGGCTCAGGCCTGTCCTCCATCCCAGCTGCCCCAGCTGATGAGATAGGAGCTGGGAGGATCACCTGAGCCTGCAGTGAGCTGCAGTGATAATGCCACTGCACCCTATCCTGGGCAACAGAGCAGGAACCCATCTCCCTCCCCGCAAGAAAAAACGACGAAGCTGGATCCTTACCTCAACATCACATACAAAAATGAATTCAGAATGGATCACAGATCTAAATATGGGAGCCAAAAGTATAAAAACTTAGAAAAAAACACAGGGATAATTCTTTATGACCTTAGATTTGGCAACAGGTTCAACACCAAAAGCATGAGCAACAAAAGAAAAAATAAAAACTGGACTTGAATTAAAAACATCTGATTCTGCACATCAAAGGACATTATCAAGAAAATGAACCTCCAGAACAGGAGAAACATTTGCAAATCACCTACTGGATAAGGGTCAACCATGCAGAATACATACATGTGTGTATATACAATAAGGAACAAAAAAAACAAGCAACCCACTTAAAAAATGGGCAAGACTTGAACTGATACTTCTCCAAACATACACAAATGGCCCAACAAAGCAGATGAAAAAATGTTCACTATTACTGGTCATTAAAAAAATGAAAATCAAAGCCACAATGAGTTACCACTTCACACCCACTAGGATGACTATTAAAAAAAGAAAAAAAAGTTAAATGTTGGCAAAGATGTAGAGAAACTAGAACCTTCATACACTGCTGGTAGGAATTAAAATGATGCAGCTGCAGAGGAAAAGATGCTTTCACAAAAGTTAAACTCTTAATTACCATATGATCCAGCCATTTTATTTCCAGGTATATAGCCAAGAGAAATGAGAACTTGTCTACCCAGAATTACATACAATGTTCACAGCAGCACTATTGCTAAGAGCAAAAAGATGGAAACAACCCAAATGTCCATCAACAGATGAATGGATAAAGAATGTAGTGTAGCCACACAATGAAGTATTATTGAGATACATAAAGGAATGAAAAACTAATACAGGCCGTGCGTGGTGGCTCACGCCTGTAATCCTAGCTCTCTGGGAGGCCAAGGCGGGTGGATCATTTGAGATCAGGAGTTTGAAACCAATCTGAGCAAGAGCGAGACCCCGTCTCTACTATAAATAGAAAGAAATTAATTGGCCAACTAATATATATAGAAAAACTTAGCCAGGCATGGTGGCACATGCCTGTAGTCCCAGCTACTCGGGAGGCTGAGGCAGAAGGACCGCTTGAGCCCAGGAGTTTGAGGTTGCTGTGAGCTAGGCTGACGCCACGGCACTCACTCTAGCCTGGGCAACAAAGCGAGACTCTGTCTCAAAAAAAAGAAAAACTAATACATACTACACATTCAGAAACACATGAAGAGAAAGCAGCCAGACACCAAGGATAACATATCGTATGATTCCATTTATACGAAATATCCAGGACAGGCAAATGCACAGTCAAGAAGCAGATCAGAGACAGGGGAGGGAAGAACGCGCAGTGATCAGTTAACGGACATAGGTGTTCATCTGAGGTGTGAAAAAGTGTTGAGAGGTGGTTAGTGCACAACACTCTAAATGTACTAAATGCCACTGGATGTATGCTTTAAAATGGTTAATTGGAATATGAATTTTACTTCAATATAAAATTTTAAAATCCAAATCAACACCTATAATCAAGACAGTTTCCCTGGAAAATTACTTCATAGTCAAAAATATCTGTTGTAAGGACAAAGCCTTGACTGTGCCAAGAAAAATGGCTAAAGTATAGGAATCTACCTAAAATGAGAACAAAACATTATCCAAAGGATGCTGAGACAGCCCTTGTGTGGCAGGGACTCTCCTACTGGTAGAGGGATGGTGTCTGCTTCTGATTTACACATTAGCTTACATGGGACTCCCCAAGCCACCCAGTGGCAGAGGCACCATGCATCCCACCTGAGGATGGGGGCAGACACAGCCCTCAACTCAGAAGGGGCTGACACCCCCACCCCCATGCTCACACTCCTTTCTTGGGTAACTGAAACAACACTTCTAAGATGACAGACAAAGCTAAAGGCATCACTTTTAGTCCTTGTGTGGCTCATACAGGCAAAATCCCAGTACCTTGGTGACTCAACATAAAACAAAAACCTGCATGAAAATAAAAAGTCTGAAATCAAACAGCTCCAGGACTCTGCTCTATACTGCACAGGCCTCAGTTATTATCTACAACTCTAACATTCAGTGTAGCATGCCTACCACTCCGATGTGGTACACCAGCAAACCCAACTAACTGACCAAGTAAGAATAAGTTGCTGGTTTTTTCTGTTTGTTTGTTTGTTTTTTGAGACAGAGTCTTGCTCTGTCACCCCAGGTACAGTGGTGTCATCATAACTCACTGAGAACTCAAATTTCTGGGCTCAAGCGATCCTCCTGCCTCAGCCTTCTGAGTACCTGGGACTACCGGCACATACCACCACTGTGCCCAGCTAATTTTTCTATTTTTAGTAGAGACTTGCTCGGGCTGGTCCCGAACTCCTGAGCTCAAGCAGTCCTCCTGCCTCAGCCTCCTAAAGTGCTAAGATTGCAGGTGTGAGCCACGGCGCCTAGCCAAGTTCTTTTTCCTGAAGCGTGACTTTTACCACATTCCATTATGGCAGTTTTTTTTGCAGGGCAGGTTGGAACTGAGGAAGTGAAGCCTTTAGTCAGCCGCTTCTCATCCCATGCCATCTTCTTCTCACCTTCCACAAGGTCTCTAACACAGACCCGACTGCTACTAACATTCTGTTTCTAAGAGTAGCACCTACAATATTCAGGCAGGACTCACACCTTAGGCCCCTCATGCTGCTCCAGCTAAAAACCTCATGCCCAGGGGAGTAAACTCTCTAACAGTCCACTTCTGCTCCCACTTTATTGTACTATTGGATATTCCTTATGATGCTGAAAAACTTAGCCACAAGGAAACCAATATTCCTTGTTCCCAATGCAACATCAGGACGCTCA